GAGTTTTCAACCTAGATTTCAAGGTGCATAGCTTCAGTGGCTTGCTCCCCTTCATCCTGCACACGAGACCCACTCATAGCATTCCGCATCTCTTCCCGGTTGCATTTGAGGACGCCGCTGGAGCAATGCCTTATGTCACTTCGTTTGAGACAGAGAGCCGCTGCTTCAGGACCACGGCGCCGTTCGCGACCTGCAGCGGATGACAAGCAAAAAAACAAAAATACAGACACCTGCATTAGATCGTGCGTCGTGCAGAAACTTGTATCGCCGTACTGCGTGTCCACGCAACCCCCCCCCCACAACCCCCAACGTGAATCCTCCCCAACCTTGACCAACCAACCCAGCCTGACGAGCGTGGAAAAAAAAATGAATGTCAAGGCACCACCTCGACCCGAAAGAAGGCACGTGGGAGGGCAGTCATCCAGCGGCGGACAGACAAACGCGCCGCACGTTATCGTGAGATAATAGTTGCACGCAGAAGTGATATCGGAGGACTGCGTGGGATGGGCGATGGCACGGGAGAGGCCTTCATTCAGAAGCCGGACAAAATAAATAAACGGTGCACGCAGTCCTCGACTTATGCACACCCGACTCACGAACATCCGCACTTACGAACCAGCTTCGTTCGATGAGATTTTTTTCAACATTTACTTAAAAGGGCGAACATCCAATGTGCAAACTGAACCACTGAGCTGTTTTGTTAAGCGGAGCGATGCCCCCCCCCAACCACCGCAAGATGTAATGAGTCAGCTTCGCGCTGGGAGTGTTTGCGCGTGTACACGTGTGTGTGCGTGTGTGTGAAAGTACGTGTGAAAGTGAGTGTGCCCCTGTGTTCGTGTTAGTGGGGAGCGGGAATGCAATGGGTAGCACGCTGCGAGACCCACGTTCGATTCGCGCTCACGGCCAACACCAACAGTGACGATTTTATCTGGACCGGTCCTGGGCCTCCCCTAGGTCGACTCAGCCTCAAATGAGGACCTGGTGCGATGTGTGAATATCGCCACTGGGGAGACAAAGGCGGCCGGGCGTGGTGCTGGTCACCCACCTCCTCGCGTACCGTGCCGGCCTTCATCGGGTGCTCGCTAACAGCACTTGCCCCTACGGTCTGTTAAGGCTACACGGGGGGTCTTTGTCTTTGTGTGTGTGTGTGCGCGTGTTCCCCCGTGTGTGTATGTGCAATTGTGGGGACTCATTACTTTATGTTTTATTTGCCGTGCAATATATATGACATTGTTACATGCAAATGTGCAATATTCATTTGTGTTTCTGAGTTTAACGATAATTCCCTTTATTGTTCAACGGTAACGCATTTATAACACTGACCGTATGTGCATTTTTACATTACATACTGTGAACCGACTTGTGAATGGAACCAATTCGTAAGTCAAGGACTGTCGGTAAATCATTCCAATATTTACTACTGTTTATTGTATAAAACTAGCTCACAATGGCCTATTGTTCAATGATGTCATGAAACTTTTAATAACCATTAAAGATGGCAAACTGTATTTAATAAATTTAACACGTAGGCTTTCGCAACCAATATTTCTAGTAAAAGTTAGCGTGTCGTTAACCCACCACCACCCGACACAGCCAATTATTAAGGTTTGTCACGTAAACAAAACGTGCCAATTTGTTACTCCTTCACACACCGAGAGGCACACCCACGCACAGAGAGAGACACACACAGAGACACAGAGAGAGAGAGACACATATAGAGAGACACATAGAGACAGAGAGAGACACACACACAGAGAGACACAGAGAGAGAGACACACACAGAGGGACACACCCAGAGAGAGAGACACACACAGAGACAGAGACACAGACAGAGACACACCTAGAGAGACACCTAGAGAGACACAGAGAGAGACACAGACCTAGAGAGACACAGAGAGAGACAAAGAGAGAGAGAGACACACACAGAGACACACACAGAGGGACACACCCAGAGAGAGACACACACACAGAGACACAGAGAGAGACACACCTAGAGAGACACAGAGAGAGACACACCTAGAGAGACAGAGAGAGAGAGACAGAGAGAGACACACACAGAGACACACACAGAGGGACACACCCAGAGAGATACACACACAGAGAGACAGAGAGAGAGAGTCACACCTAGACAGACACACAGAGAGAGACAGAGAGAGAGACACACAGAGACACACACAGAGGGACACACCCAGAGAGAGAGACACACACACAGACAGAGAGACACAGAGACAGAGACACACCTAGAGAGACAGAGAGAGACACACACCTAGAGAGACACAGAGAGAGAGACACAGAGAGAGAGATACACAGAGACACACACAGAGGGACACACCCAGAGAGAGACACACACAGAGAGACACAGAGAGAGACACACACCTAAAGAGACATAGAGAGAGAGAGACAGAGAGAGAGACACATAGAGACACACACAGAGGGACACACCCAGAGAGAGACACACACAGAGACAGAGAGAGAGAGACACAGAGAGAGAGACACAGAGAGAGAGACACACACAGAAAGACACACCCACACACAGAGAGACATACACACAAAGTGACGCAGAGAGACACACATACACACAAAGTGACACAGAGACAGACATATAGGGAGACAAACAGAGAGACACACAAAGAGACACACACAGCAACATCACACCTGTTTTATTGCTGAAAGGATAAAGCCTATTATATATTTTTTCGTCATTTTGATACTGCCAAAAATATACAACAGAGTTATGAAGAAACTGGACCTCAACATACAAACCCCATTATAACAAGGCGTCTCGGTGGCGACATATAAACTACCTCGTCTGGTATGCAGAATCACGTGGGTTAGATCCCGACCCTGACGCCTGCATGTTCTCCCCGTGGCTGCGTGGATTTTGCTCAGAGCCCTCCACATTTAGAAACAACGTGCGTTCTATTTGGCCGCTATAAAATTTTCACGTGAGTATACCACAAAAGAGCTGTGAAAAAGAGCTATATAGTTCGGTGGGTCTCATCTGCAACAATAAATAAATGTCATGCGACCTCCCATGCCAGTGTCGAAATACAAGAATAGGTTTGACCCTTTCTGGCAATAAAACAGTTGTGCTAAGATGTTAAAATAATCAAATAGAAACCCTTTGAAAGGGAATCGTGTCCGCATGAACCACGTGTACTTGTGGTGAACATGCAAACAATAAAAGACATGCTCTGGTAGTGTACGATGATGGCATTGTCTTTGAAAGTGATTGGTCCACACCAGAGACAGCTTTCTTTAGAGCCTAGTCTCAAACGGTGTTCGACCAGAGGACGCCAAAAGGCACGAAGACAACGCCGTTATCAGGACATTGAGAGCTCGGGGTGAGCAGCCGCATGTTCACCACAATGCATTGTGGTTAATGCTAGACACGATTCCTTGTTAAGGGTTCCTGTTTGGTGTTTTAACATCTGAACACCTTTTTTTTGTATTGCCAGAAAGGGTCAAACCTATTCTCTTTGGTTCTTTCGGTAAAGTCACGTGGATATAAACGAAAATAAAGCACGACGTTTCGATCGCAACACAAGCGGAAAACAATCGAATCCAGCAGTGAACTTCTGGAAACGTCGTGATTTGTTTTTATTTTTTACCCGCGTGACTTCTTTACCGAAAGAACCAAAGAGTATGGATTCCTGCAGTCACGAAAGCTTCAAATCAAGTTTAATACAAATACATACAATAGTAGTGAAAAGCATAGGAAAGTTAAGCAAATCACTAAAAAAATACAAATTAAACTATGTTTTATTTTACCAGGTAAAGTCCACTGAGCTATGAACTTATTTTTCAGAAGCGACCTGGCCAGAAGTAATAACTCCAAGATGGGGGTTAATTATCACCTGGAAATGTATAGCAGCCAAATAATGTAAATACTATACTTGGTTCTTTCGGTAAAGTCACGTAGAAGGGAAACAATAAAATAATAAAAATCTAAAACATTATTTTATTGTTTCCCTTCTACGTGACTTTACCGAAAGAACCAAGAATATGAATCCATGCAGTCACGAAAGCTTTAAATCAAAATGTAAATACTATACTTATTGGTTATTTCGGTAAAGTCTCCTGCTGAGGCAGACCACGCTTTCTCACCTGATGACGGACGCTTGTGTTGCGCCCGAAACGTCGTGATTTATTTTATTTTCTACCCGCGTGACTTTACCGAAAGAACCAAAGAGTATGGACTCCTGCAGTAACGAAAGTTTAAAATCAAGGTAAACATATTCTTATAATAAACAAATACGGGATAGTCCTCTACTCACGATCGACATGCGTTACGACGACCCCAATCGTAAGTCAAAAATATCGTAAGTCGAAGATGGCCCTAGCCTACCCAGGAGTCTTAAAGAATGTTGATAATTTAGCAAAACAGAGGCAATTTACACAACCGTACTGTATAAACTATATACTGTATGCATTTATTAATTACAATACTGTATTGCACAGTAAAATGTAAAGTAAAAAAACAAGGTAAATTCTTAGCCTACCTATATGAACCGCAATTTAATACTGTAGAAAGTGTTTTTTTTCAGGAAACAATCCTATCTGCTATATATATTTTAAAAACTTTTAACATGCATTGAACGTATGTATCGTATCGTGATAACCCTAAAATGAAATCGCTAAAGCTACGTATCACACGCGCATTGAACGTATCGTTACGTATCATATTGTAACTGTACTCGCCAAGATTCTGTCCTATCGCTATCGCCATCGTAAGATCGAAATATCGTAAGTCGGGGACTATCTGTAGTTTTAATTGCTCAGCCCTGTAACCTAAGAATGTGACCATTGCCCCTTTAAGTGACCCAAGCGCTCGCAGTTGACCCGGCGGCTCTTGACCAATTACGTGCCGAGCCTAGGGCCCCCCCCCCCGCCGCTACACCCCCCTCCCCACCATTCAACGCTTCACCACGTGTATCGGCACTCCACGTGGAAACACGCGGCGTGTTAATTCGCGCTCGCATATAGCTTTCGACTTTTAACACAACACGAGCAGCAGCAAGCCACGATGGGGGCAGCCGAAGAAAAAGGTACGCTATGAGCGAAATTCACCTCGCAGCAAACCGTTCGTTGTGAAGCGTTAAGCGTGCCGTGTTTAGGCCCCAACGGGCGCTACCGGTCTGAACTAGAGGCGGCCGCCCGCTCCCCAAGCGCATTGCGCGGTCGGGTTTCTTGGCGAGGCCGAGGCTTAGGCCTTTTGCGGCCTTGGTGCCGTTTAAAGTTGCGCCACGCTCTGAACGGCCGCTGTTTTCAGCGATGTTTAGCTACTTGTGCGAAAGCAATTTACCGAACTTCTTACATGTAACTGATAACTGAAGGCATTCCCCATCTCGTCTCGGCTACGTGTGTTTGACTATACTTCACCACGCTGGTTTTAGTGCGCTTTGGTGAAGGAGGTTCCGGAGACGGTTCAGATATCACTCAAACGAAACTTTTTATTTTATTTTACCAGGTAAGGGGCCCACCGAGCTGTATAGTTGCGATCGAAACGTGATTTGTTTGATTTCACTTCAACATACGTGACTTTACCTACAGAACCAAAGAGTACTATATAGTTATTTTTAAGAATCGACCAGTCCACACATTCTAGATTTGAAGCTTTCGTGACTGCAAGGATCCATACTCTTTGGTTCTATTCTATACCTACGTGACTTTACCGAATAGAACCTAAGAGTACAGTCCACACATGATAGCTCAACGAAGTGCCATATGTGAAAATTTATAGCAGCCAAATACTCTTAATCATTTTAGCCGCAGATGGGATTTTTTTTTATTTTGCCTGCATTCTGAATATTTGCCCAATGCCATTGCATTAATTAAAAGCTTTCCATCTGGGAGGAAACCCGGAGTACGCAGAAGAAAACTCAAGACTCTACACGTAATAGATTCAATAATCCCAGCCTTGGCATGTCCTGGCCATCTCTCAGTCCACGAGGTTCCTGATATATCGCTCCACTGATCCGTCGCCAGGAATGGAACTCTGGTCCGCCTGGTTTAGCGCGAACTCGCGTGCACACGTGATAAGAAAGAACCGTTAGGATTTATAAAGCGACTAAATGCAGTCGTTTCTGAAGACGCTGCAAGCTCAGGGAAAACACAACCGTCTAAAGAGTTTTAAAGGTTTAGAGCGGGGAAGGAAGGGGGGTGGTGTGTACTTTGTAGGCCCTAGAGACGACAATGGAAGAAGTGCTGCAGAATAAAACTTGTAAAATAACGCGTGAGGATACTGTATCTGCAGTTATCCGCATGGCCATAGGCAGAGAAGGTTCACTGAGCATTTTTACAGTGCTTTGTTTTATGGATGATGAAAAGAGAGACTATCAGAATCTTTATACTGCAGAAATCCGATGAGCTGTAAAGCTCTTTTTCACACATGTCCAGCAGGGGTGAGTTAGAAAGCTACAATCGAATGAAACCGGAATAGAGCACTTGGAAATCTGATATTGTTTATGAAATATAGTCTGGCAGTGGGTCTAAAGATATGGATCGCAAACTTCAACGAAAAGAAAATGGGAACAGAACTTAAGAAATGTGCAAACCGTAGTGAAGTGCATGCTTGGAATTACACTGAGGCACAGCAAGAGGACCATATTGAACAGGGGACCAAAAACAAACAAGTTACAGTCCATCGTTGATTGTTACGAAATGTACGATACGTGGGTTTTCGTGGGAGACATCACTGGAAGGGACGGCCACCAGTGAAAGAGACTTGGTGATTGGACAAAAGAACAGTGGGAAAATGGCCAAAAGAATGACCACCGCGGAGATGAATCGATGAGATCAGCTCCTATGCAAGATTTAGGTGGAGTGTGGCATCACTAGTCAGTGAGGCGTGGGTGATGGCATGGGGAGGCCGTCAACCAGCAGTGGATACGACATGGCTCTTAATGAGATGTGTTTTAAGTCGTTTATATTGGTGCAGTTCGTCCTTCCGAAGGAAAAAACAAATTGCACGACTGGCTCGGCACTAACAATTTGAGTTTATTTTGTAGCGAGAGCAATGACACATTCAGATGCTGGGGGCCAGTCTCAATATGACTACTGTTGACTTATTACAATGTGGTACTGTCCTCATTTTAGCTACCTTGATGGAATGATAGGCTGATTAGACTCCCGACTTTGTAGTCCAGTATTAATATCCATCCACATGGTGCTATCACTCGTGACGTTTTAAGCGTGTTCTAGTTTGGTTCAGGTTGCTAGCGTGGTTCTTGTCATTTAGATGTTTTACTGTGGTGTATTGCAACCCAGAGTGAGTTGGTGGTGGTGTTGACCTTAGCACATGATGCTCTGAGAATGGCTACCACCAGTGGTGAGTGATTACTGAACCCGCCGCGCTGGGTCTCTCATCCACCCTACATAAACATTCTCTGAGCTATATGGTAAGTTCAGTGAAACAACCTCCATGACTGACACAGCATGTCCTTCGCCCAGGGCGCCACGATGCCGAGATGTTAACTACATCGCCTGGTATGCAGGAGGTCGTGGGTTCGATCCCGACCTTGACGCCTGCTGTATATTTAGGGTTTGCGGTGTCTCCCCATGGTTGCATGTATTTTTTTGCGGGTCCTTTGGTTTTTCCCTCCGCATTTAGAAACGTGTGTTGAGAGTATTTTCACATGATCGACCACGTTGAGCTATCATTTGTGGCCGGTTGCTTCTAAAAGAAAGCTATATAGCTCAGTGGGCCTTAGCTGGTAAAAAAATATATTAACAAAGGGTTCACAGTTAATATTGTAATGAGCTGTTGTACTGTAATGTGGTGTGATGTGACCCATTGTACTGTTGTGTTTTGGTGTAGTCTTGGATGTGGATGGTAGAATGGTGTTGTGCGGTCGTGTATGGATGGAGGTGTGGTTGTGTTGTGAACGGCGCTGTGCTCTGTGCAGTACACAAGCGGCGAGGCCACGAGTTACATCACCCGCAACAAAGCTCGCAAGAAGCTCCAACTCAGCCTGCCCGACTTCCGGTGAGTGAGGTGGAGGAGTGGCGCTCTCAACAAGGGTCAGAGTTGATTCGTCAGTCATTTAACCTGCAACATCTGGGTGGTTTTTCACTGCTGAGCTATCTGATTGGTTGCGCAGAGAAATTCAGAAAATTCTGTTGTAACGTACTTGTATGCTTCCACATTTATGCTCCCAGTCTTCAACCACACTGACCAGCTTGGTTAAGTGTGCTCAAATAACCCCACAACTAACATGGTATAGGGAGGCCCTCATCCAGCATAGGATAGGCATAAAGGGCTGTGGGTTTACCTGATGACCTCCAGCCCTGAAAGCCTTTGCGACTTATGTGGGCCCCAAGCTGTAACTTAGCTTGCAGTGTGTCCCGGTGTGTTCCAGGCATTGCTGTATACCCAATGGCATGTACCCTGACCTCGTGTGTCCCTGCGTCCGCCAGGCGTCTCTGCATACTCAAGGGCGTGTACCCTCACGAGCCACGTCACAAGAAGAAGGCGAACAAGGGCTCGACGGCGCCGCGCACCTTCTACCTCGCCAAGGACGTGCGCTTCCTCCTGCATGAGCCGATCGTCGCCAAGTTCCGCGAATACAGGGTGAGGGAGAGCATCGGGAGAAGTGAGTGAGTGTACGATAGACGGGGGACGAGAGAGGTGGAGCATGTGTGGGAGACGGGGAATGTGTGTTTGTGAGAGAGTGGAGGATTGAAACTGGGGAGACAAAGGCGGCCGGGGCGTGATGTTGGCCAACCACCTACCTCATTTGCCATGCCGGACTTTAGAGATGCTCGCTAACAGCACTTGCCCCAACAGTCTGTTAAGGCTGTTTGCAGGACCTTTTTATTTGTTGTGTATGAGAGTGGTAGAGTAGCGGTTATGTTGCGGCACTGCGAACCTGGCGATTATCTGAACCGGTCTTGGGCCTCCCCTAGGTCGACTTAGCCTCAAATGAGTGCCACTGGGGAGACAAAGGCGGCTGGGCCTGGTGCTGGCCACCCACCCCCTCATGTACTGTGCTAGCCTTCATGGGTGCTCGCTAACAGCACTTGCTCCAACAGTCTGTTAAGGCTATACAGGGGACCTTTGCGTTTGTGGGCGGGAGACAGGGGAGAGAGGTGGAGTATGTGTGGGAGACGATGAGTGTGTGTTTGTGAGAGAGTGGGAGTGTGTGAGAGAGGGCGGGGAGGGAGTGTGTGTTTGTGACACAGGGGAGAGGGGCAGAGTGTGTGAGAGATTGGTAGTGTTTGTGAGAAAGACATGGGGAGTGGGCGCAGACAGACGGAGTGGGAGTGCGCATGTGTGTGTTTGAGAAAGGGAGTGTGTCATCTCTAATTGACGTTCGTGTCTCTAATCTCTGTGTCTTTGCGTCTGCATATCTCCCCATCTCTTCGTTATTTCTGTCCGTCAGGTGTTTGTGCGGAAGCTGCGCAAGGCGTACGCCAAGACACAGTGGGGCCGAGTCGACCACCTCAAGTCCAACAAACCCACCTACAAGCTCGACCACATCATCAAGGAGAGGTGACCTGCCCTCCCTTGCCATGTGTCCTCCCTTGCCTTGCCCATGAATTGTAACAATGTATCCATGTCTATGTGCCATCCTATGTTAATTTGTGTGCGTGTTCCTGTATGTCTCCCTGTTGTGCCTACATGTCTTCATGTCCTTGTGTGTCTCCGAGTGCCCTGTGTCCTCGCCATGTGTCACCAAGTGCCCCGTCCTCCATGTTGCCCTCTGTGTCTTCTTGTGTCCCTGGTGCCCAACGTTTGTGGACATGCCGCATGACGTATCTGCACTTTCCCTTGGGCCCTCTGTGTCTGCGTGCAATTGCCAATGTTGTCCCCCCTTTGCATCGCTGTGTGCTTCACTCTGCCTCCACCTGTTTCTCTGCCCAACGTGTGTCCCTCTTGTGTCCACGTATCTCCCGTTGTGTCCGCGCATCCCTCTGCGTGTTGATACGTTTCTTTCCATTTCGCGCTTGTCCCAGGTACTCTGGTTGTGGACGGGCTTGTGGGACGCGGTCTAAACGCTGTCCGCATGATGATGTCTTCTTCTGCGTTTCTCCGTGAATCTCTGCATCGGCGTTTTTATATCCCGTGTACGAACTTGTGCCCCCTGCGTGTGTGTGTGCATCCCAGGTACCCGACCTTTGTGGATGCCCTGCGGGACGTGGACGATGGGCTTTCCATGTGCTGCCTCTTCTCGTCGTTCCCCACGCTCGGGGCGCTGCCACGTGGACTCGGTGCAGCTCTGCCGTCGCCTGTCGCTCGAATTCCATGGATACGTGGTGGCAGGCACGCGCCCTGCGCAAGGTTTCAAGCCGGCCCCACAATCACAACAATACATCATTGCACACTCACAATAACATGCCAATACAGTACACTGTAACACAGGCAGGCTGTTGTGGCAAATGCTGTGGGCTAACATCTATTAATGCCAGCACGCCACTCGAAGGAGTGGTGTGGCCACCACTACACCCAGCCACTCGTCTCCACCGCAGCATGTACTAATTTATGGCCGAGTTAACCTTGGGAGGCCGAAGACTGACTGGTTTATATATGCTAACTGTGTAACGTTTCTGCGTGCATGGTTCAATGTGCTTAACACTACATCACCACTCCCCCATAGAGGAACAAACAAAGACAAATATCCCCCTTGTATAGCCATAACAGACTTTTGAAGCCAGTGCTGTTAGCGAGCACCTTTTAAGGTCAGCACACAAGGGGATGGGTGGCTCACACCACGTCCGGCCACATTTGTCTCTCCAGTGCTGATGTTTTCACACCACCATCAGGTACTTGTTTAAGGCTTAATCAACCTCGGGGAGGCCCAGGTGGTGTATGTATCAGTGGTCTCGGTTAAGCCATAAGACCTAGGCCTGTCCCGTGATCACCTGCTCAGGAGCCTTTCACACCTCACTTGGTCTCAAAGTGCGCATAGCCTGGTATAAGCACTGTGGTGACATCACCGCCACTTCGTGGTGAATGGTAGCTGTTGGTGTGTTTATGTGCCTGTGTTTTATGTGCGTGTGTTTGTGCATTTGCAGGTGTTCTTGTCGATAAAGGGAATTTACTTTCAGCTGAGGTTCAGGCCAGACTGTGACGTGGGTCATGCCTTATCCATACTCGCACAACGTGAGGACACACACACACACCTACACCACGTTTTGTGTGTGTGAGATCGTGTTTGTGAGTGTGCAAATGTGTCTGTGAGTGTTATCATGCGAGTAAGCGCAAGTGAATGTTACTGCGTGCGTGAGAATTTCAGTGTCTGAGTTTGTTTGCAAGTGTGGGTGTTGGCGTTTTTTTGCAGTGTATCTGGCTGTAACTGTATTGGTTTTTGGTATTTGTGTAGTGCAACGGATAGCGCGCTGCGAGCCCGGATTCGATTCCCACTCGTCAACACCAGTGACGCTTTTCTGAAATGGTTCTGGGTCTCCCATTGGTCGACTCGGCCTCAAATTAGTACCTAGTGCGATGTGTAAACATCGCCACGAGTGAGACAGAGGCAGTTGGGTCTGGTGCTGGCCACCCACTCCCTTGTGTGCTGTGCCGGCCTTCATAGGTGCTTACTAACAGCATTTGTCCCAATAGACTGTTACAGGCTTCATGGGATATCTCTTTGTCTTTGAGAGTGTGTGTGCATTTTCACATTGGCTGCTATACATGCTAAGCCACTTGATTGGGCTATGATTTGTGGCCAGGTCACTTCTGAAAAAGAGCTATATAGCTCATTGTGCCTTACCTGGTAAAATAAAAAAAAATATTTTAGCTTTAGGGTTGAGCGGGGTTTTAAAAGCTCTTAAAAAGGATGCATGAGGAAAACTCTGTGCGTCAATTGGTAGATGTTCCATGATGGGTAATGCTGTTGGGCTTGCATGTACTTGATTTGTGTCTTGTGTGCGAGTGTGCAGCATCCCACGGATGTTGACTACCGCGTCATGTCCACATTCACCGAGTTCTACACCTCCCTGCTCGGCTTCATCAACTACCGCCTCTACCAGAGCCTCAACCTCGCCTACCCGCCACGGGTACAGCCACCCCCTCATGGACATCATCGGTGCACTGCATGACCTTCCACGAAACTCGTGGTCCACCCTAAACTGCATCCGCAAAAAACCATGGCAGATGCGGGATACCTGATGCACAACTGGAAAATGTAAAACGCTGCAATGTGCGACTGTGGTCATTCAGAATAGACCGTAAAACGTATAACGACACAATGCCCGCAAATACGAAGGAGGCATCGCTGCAATGGACTTCCGCTGCTCTTGATGTGGTTGTCTCGCTTGACCACCTGAATTTTGGAAATTACAGTTGTTGCTCTGCATCTACATCAGCCATACGAAAGAAAAAGAGAAGTGCACTGCAGCCCCGGTGCCCAAATCCCGGCCAACGTTACATTATCGCCATTCATCCTGCGTGCTTATATTGACGTGTGGCGTGCGCGCGTACAGGCGGGGCTATAACAGGTATCCGTTGTGTTTGTTGGGGTGCAGGTGGAGGGCTCTGCTGAGGAAACTGCAGGCGGTGTGTATGCCATGGACTCGGAAGCACACCTTGAGGTGACCGCACCACGCACCACGCGCACGCATACATGCACACAGTGATCCCACCCGTCCAGCCAGAAACGAGTTGCTGCGTGGCAAGTGCTGTTAGCGAGCAGCTGTGAAGGCCCGTGGTGTGTGGTCAGCACCTAACTTTGTCTCCCCCGGTGGGTGGCGCTGTATGTTTACGCACGGCTCTTATAGGTACTGCACAGTAAAACCTTGTATTGCGAGTAACTCGGTCGGCGAGTGTTTTGTTAAGACGAGCAAACATTTTAAATAAATATTACTTTGATAAACGAGCGAGGGTCTTGAAATGCGAGTAGTAGTACGTATAGACGCTTTGTACTGCCGAGCGTCACGTGATCACAACTGATATACGAGTGCTTTGGATATACGAGTGCTTTGGATTACAAACACGTTTCCGGAACGAATTATGCTCGCGATCCAAGGTTTTACTGTACGTTGTTTTAAGGTTGCGTTGACCCCAGATCAGCTAAAATGGTCATGCCAGCAGAGTAATCGATCCACTACTGATAAGATCAGCATTGTTACGTGATCAGATGAAACCGTGGTATGGACAGCTTCACGTGATGACATTATTTGGTGATGCTGCTGCATTGGAAGCGGTGCACAAGCACACTTAACAAATACACATCTCAACACACTCGTCAATAGCACTGTGTGCCTTCAAAGAAAAAAATATATATCATCGCTGTTGTTTTAGGCAATGTCCCTTAATGTGATTCGGTTTATGTGTTGCGAAGAAAGACCATTGCCCAAAACGTTGCCGATTTTTTTAGATACACTTTTTTTAAGGCTTCAGTTTTGTAGAAGACTGTATGTGAGTTTTTACGTGAAACCAGCGTCAACTGGGTTGTGAGTTGAAACAAACCAGGTAGGGGTTAGACGTTAGGAAGTGACCGTGGTGTGTAAGCACCACGGCCAGCTCACCATCCACAACTGCGCTCTTGTCATTTGAATGAAGAGTGTTGTGTTTGATGTCAGAACGACGTGTGTAGGTGTTAATGCTGTGATGCTGCGTGGATGTAGCGGTTGTGATGCGGTGTTGATGCTCTGATGCTGTGTGGATGTCGAGGTTGTGATGCGGTGTTGACTGTGATGCCGCGTGGATGTAGAGGTTGTGATGCGGTGTTGATGCTGTAATGTGGTGTGGATGTAGAGGTTGTGATGCGGTGTTGACTGTGATGCCGCGTGGATGTAGAGGTTGTGATGCGGTGTTGATGCTGTAATGTGGTGTGGATGTAGAGGTTGTGATGCGGTGTTGATACTCGGATGCTCTGTGGATGTAGAGGTTGGCCGCACTGTCTCAGTCGCTGGCCCGGATTCCCGGTTCCAGCAGTAACAGTGAGGAGGTGGCCGAAGAGGAGCGTCCAGATGAGTTCCTCGTTGAAGAAGTATGCACGTACACACACTCGTACACACGCACACACACACACACTTGCACACACGCACACACACTCGCACACACTTGCACGCACTCGCACGCACTCACATGCACACACACACTCATACATATATGTACACACATCAAAGATCCCCCATATAGCCTTAACTGACTGTAGGGGCAAGTACACGAGGGGGTGGGTGGCCAGCACCACGCCCGACCGCCTTTGTCTCCCTAGTGGCAATGTTTACACACCGCACCAGGTACTCATTTAAGGCTGAGTCGACCTAGGGGAGGCCCAGTTCAGATAATCGTCACTGGTGTTGGCCGTGAGCGGGAATCGAACCCGGGTTGCCAGGTTCATAGTGCAGCGCACTAACCGCTACACTATCGCTCCCCACTCACACACTCGTACATATATGCATGCACACATGCACACACTCATACATATATGCACGCACACGCACATATACACTCACACATGCACACACTCATACATATATGCACGCACTCGCACACTCACACATGCACACACACACACACTCATACATATATGCACGCACACACACGCTCACACATGCACACACTCGTACACTCGTACATATATGCACACACACTCACACATGCACACACTCATACATATATGCACGCACACACACACTAACATGCACACACTCACACACTCATATATATGCACGCACACACACACTCATACATGCACACACTCACACACTCATATATGCACGTGCACACACACACATGCACACACTCACACTCATACATATATGCACACACACACTCACACATGCACACACTCACACACTCGTACATATATGGACGCACGCACTCAAAAACACTAAGTGCCCCTGTATAGGTTTAAAACAGATTGTTAGGGAAAGTGATGTTTGCAAGCACATATTAAAGCCAGAAAAAAGGGGGTGGTTGGCCACGCCCGATCGCCTTTGGCTCGACAGTGTTAACCCTTTACAGACCGCACCAGGTACTAATTTAGTGCCGAGTTAACCTAGGGGAGGTACAGGACCGGTTCAGATATTCGCCACTGTTGTTGGTCGTGAGCGGGAATCTTAATCCCACGGGGGGGCCTGATGAAAATTTTTAATTTATAAACTTTTCTGCTGACCAGTTATTAAATTGTCAATGCATAGCGACCTGATCACAGTTATTGAGTAACAGACACCGTTCGGTAGTAAAACAACAAAGTATTACTCAATAAACTCGTTTATGTTAAAAGTTAATTAAAAAAATGTTGCTGGCACAGTACATTTTCCGCACCTCCGATTGGTGTGGTTGGCTATGTACTATGCAAAAGAAGTTCAACATACATACAAGGGATTTTTCCTATCGGCACAAGTGGATTCCAAATGGATTCAAGAATCCATTACTATGCTGTCATCTCCTGGCTGCCTTGCATCTCGAGTGTACAACACTTGGTGGTCCTGGAAGGTTTCCCAAATGCTCATCAGGCCCAGTATTATATTCTTGGTTCTTCCGGTAAAGTCACGTAGAAGGGAAACAATAAAATAATAAAAATATAAAACAATAAAATTCCCACGACGTTCGACTGCAACCACAAGCAATCATCATCAGGTGACTTTTTCCAAAAGAACCAAGAATATGAATCCCTGCAGTCACGAAAGCTTTAAATCAAAATTTAGGCCCAATATTGCTAAGCTTCGGAGCTCCAGCAGGTTTGAGTGGAATCAAGGTGAATCGTCTTTTTCGAATCTGAATTGAGAACTGCGATTTCCCCAGCGCTGCTTCACCTCTTTGCCTAAACGTGTCACTGTTGTGTCTCCGCTTGTCCCCGTCTGCCCCTGTGTGTGTCGGTGCAGGAAGACCGTGAGTTGTCCGAGCGACGGAAGGCAGACGCGGCTAAACAGGCAGCACTGTGTTCTCTGTTCGAGGGCACTAAGTTTTTCCTGAACAGAGAGATCCTGCGTGAGATGTTCACATTCATCATCAGGTGTGTGATTGTGTGTGAGCGTGCGTGACTGGGGAGCGATAGTGCAGCGGTTAGCGTGCTGCACTACGAACACGGCGACCAGAGTTCAATTCCCGCTCATGGCCACCAATATAAGTGACGATAATCTGAACCGAGCCTGGGCCTCCACTAGGTCGACCCAGCTTCAAATGAGTACCTGGTTGCGGTGTCGGTTAAATGTCTTTACATTAACGGGCTAAATGTCTCACTAACAAAGCTCTCGTTTTTTAGCAGACTAACTGGCTGTAATTTTGTGGTGTGTGTCTCTGTGTGCGTGTCTCTCGGTTAGTGTGTCTCTCGGTTTGTGTGTGGCTCTCTCTGTGTGTCTCCCTATATGTCTCTCTCTCTCTCGTGTCTCTTTGTGTGTGTGTCTCTGTGTGTGGGTGTGTCTTTCTGTGTGTGTCTCTCTCTGGGTGTGTCCCTTTGTGTGTCTCTGTGTGTCTCTCTCTGTGTTTCTCTAGGTGTGTCTCTCTCTATATGTATCTCTCTCGGTGTGTCTCTGTCTTTGTGTGTGTCTCTCTATATGTGTCTCTCTGTGTGTGCGTCTCCCTCTCTGTGTGTGTGTGTCGCTCTGTGTGTGTGGGTGTGTGTGTCGCTCTGTGTGTGTGGGTGTGTGTTTCGCTCTGTGTGTGTGGGTGTGCCTCTAGGTGTGCGTCTCTCTCTCTCCTTCCCTCGATGTGGTGTTGTCCCCCGTTTGTTTCCCCCGTCTTTCTAACGAGCTGGACGTCTCGCTAGCACATCCACCGTTGCAGTTGGTTCGTTTACATTGACATGCTAGTCTCTCACGATACAAAGGCCACCTCCCCAGCTCTCGCATCAACCACAACCCCCCCTTCCCCCCCATCTCGGTTCCCATCTTTGGATTTCCCACTCGCTTAGGCACAATCTCTAGCCCCCACACTCTTGTCCGATGCGGCAACCCCCCCCCCCCTCCTGGCTCTATATATAAATAAGGACTTGTTTCAGCAGCCTGTTTTCTCTCTCCACCTGAAGACGATTGCTTGTGCGGCGATAGAAACGTCGTCATCTAATTATTTTTTCCACCTACTTGACTTTACCGAAAGAACCAAAGGAGTATGGTTGCGGTGTGTAAGCATCGCTACTAGGTATATAAAGGTGGTCGAGCGCGGTGCTAGGCCACCAACCCCCTCGTGTGCGCCATGCCGGCCTTCATGAAGTGCTCTCAAAGCAGCACTTGCCCGAAAAGTCTGTTAGAGGCTATACGGGGGATCCGTGTCTTGTGAGTGACTCTGAATGTGACGAACACGGCAACCCGAGTTCAATTCCAGGCTTCGTTTACCGTCAGTGCTGTGTGATATCTACACCGGTCTTGAGCCTTCCCTGGGTCAACCCGGCCTTAAATAAGTATCCGATGCGATTTGTAAGCATCAACAGTGGGAAGACAAAGGCAGCTGGGAGTGGTGCTGGATACACCGTCCTCTTGAGCGTCTCGTGCCAGCCTAAATAGTATCTCTATTAAAAAAAAACATCACTTTGCCCCAGAAGTCCAAAAGGCTGCGTGTGGGGGGATTTTTGTCTTTTTTGTTCCTAGGAGCTTTGGGGGTCAGGTGTCGTGGCACTCGTCCGTGTGCATCGGGGCAACGTACCCCGAGACGGACGAGACTATCACCCACCAGCTGGTGGATCGGCCCAATCCCCCGCAGACGTTCATCAACCGGTGAGTTCGCTCAACGCACACAATATACACGCTTGCACACGAAAACATACCAAGACTCGTGTTACAATACAGCCAACACGCTGCTACGCACGTTATACATGACCATAACCCCCGCAAACCTACATCAACCGGTGAGCTCGCTCAATGCACACAATATACACGCTTGCACACGAAAACATACCAAAACTCGTGTTACAATACAGCCAACACGCTGCTACGCACGTTATACATGACCATAACCCCCGCAAACCTACATCAACCGGTGAGCTCGCTCAATGCACACAATATACACGCTTGCACACGAAAACATACCAAAACTCGTGTTACAATACAGCCAACACGCTGCTACGCACGTTGTACATGACCATAACAAACACAAACCTACATAATATATACTAGACTAGCTTTACTACCCGGCTTCGCTCGGGACTTGGATTCACCACGCCCGGCCGCCTTTGTCTCCCCAGTGGTGATGTTCACACCACACCAGTTACTCGTTTGAGGCTGAGTCGACCTAGGGGAGGCCCAGGACCGGTTAAAATTATCGTCACCGGTGGTGGCCGTGAGCGGGAATCGAACTCGGGTCGCCGGGTTCGTAGCGCGGCGCGCTAACCACTACACTACAATGCGTTACGCTTCCACATGCGAGGGTCACGTGACAGATTTGACGTCACAGCTCACTTGCCGTGCAAAAAATAAAAGCATTATTGAGCTCCCCACCTCCCCCCCCCCCCCCCCCCCAAAAAAAAGTATTTTTATAATGTTTGCATGGTGTACAGTCTGGAAAGTACCCACATGGCAAATTTCAAGTTTGTTGCATGTCGGGAAGTACGCTAAACATTTTGAACAGACACACATATTCACAACTTTGCCTTTTTATATATATGGAGATATATATAATGCATACTATTCACTGCACACAGTAAACTACTTGATCAGCCCATGGGCTCACACAATGCATAATAGTACAACAATACATAATGCACAAAATACACTCAACACATACAGTACACAATACATACATTGCCTGTACAATACACATGACGCAATATACAGTAAAACCTTGGCTTGCGAGCATAATTCGTTCCGGAAACGTGTTTGTAATCCAAAACACTCGTATATCAAAGCACTCGTATATCAGTTGTGATCACGTGACGCTCGGCAGACAAAGCGTCTATACGTACTACTACTCGTATTGCAAGACCCTCGCTCGTTTATCAAATTAATATTTATTTTAAAAATTTTGCTCGTTTTGCAAAACACTCGCAGACCAAGTTACTCGCAATCCAAGGTTTTACTGTACACACCAACACCCCCGTGTGCCTTGCTGACCTCCCATCGGTGCATCTCACGAACAGCGCTTGCCTCGACAGTTGTTTTTAAAGGCTCCACGGGGGATCTTTGTCACCGTCGTCGTGTGCGTTTGTGCTCGTAGGTGCTACGTGCAGCCGCAGTGGGTGTGCGACTGCGTGAACGCGGGGGTGCTGCTGCCCGTGCAGGATTACTTCCCGGGAGTCCTTCTGCCCCCCCATCTCTCCCCCTTCGTCGAGGAGAAGGAGGGCGACTACATTCCCCCGGAGAAGCTCAAGCTGCTCGCGCTGCAGAGGGGAGGTGAGGGGGGGGGCGCCCGCCCGTGCACGCTTGGGGTCGCGTCGAGTCGCACGGGAACGCAGGCGTCACACGGGGACGTGCCGGTTCGCGTCGCGGTACACGTGCGGTTGCACGGGGGTTACACAGGAAGACGGGGGGGGGGATACAGGCTCACACGGGACACACGGACATGGGGGACACGTGGGGATACACAGGGTCATACGGGACACACGGGGTCACACAGAAGGCGTAGGAATACACAGGGTCACACGGGACACACGGACATAGAGAGATACAAGGGTCACACGGGACACACGGACACGTGGGGATACACGGTCACACAGGACACACGGGCTCACACAACAGACAGGGTTGCATAGGGACACACGAGAGTGACACAGGAACAAGAAAGATCATTGAGGGACGTGTGGAGACGCACACGCGGACACATGAGGCATGCAGGGTTACACGGGGACACGTGGGGGCGCACGGGGTTTCACGTGGGTCACAGAGGGTCACACTTGGTCATAGAGGGTCACACTTGGTCATAGAGGGTCACACTTGGTCATAGAGGGTCACACGGAGATACGTGAGGAATATGGGGTCAAAGAGTTTCTTCATCTCTCTCTCTATCTCCCTCGAATGGCCTTCCAGATACAGGCGCCGAGGATGACGAGGAAGAGGAGGAAGTCGATGATGATGGCGGCGATGACGACGACGAGGACGACGAGGACGAGGTTGACGCTGTGGAAAAGAAACAGGAGAAGAGTTTAAAGAAGGCGGAGCGCAAGAGGATCGAGAAGAAGGTGCTGTCTCGCTTGTGTGTGCGTGCGTCTGTGGGGAGCGGTGGAGCACTGCGCTACGAACCTGGCACCGCGAGTTTCATTCCCCACTCACGGCCAATGAACGCTATACAGTGGTGAATATATAAACGAGTTTTTGGACTCTGGATCGTCTTAGCCTTAAACAAGTACTTGGTGTGATGTGTCAGCATCTTTACTCGGGAGACAAAGGCAGCCGGGCATGGTGTTGGCCACCCACCACCTCGGATGTTGTCTTGGCCTTTATAGGTGCTCGTTAATAGTACTTGCCCCAACAGTCTGTTAAAGGTTATACGTGGGTATTTTGTATGAAAAACAATAGATTTTACCCTTTCTGGCAATAAAACAGGTGTTAAGACTTCGATTTAAAGCTTTCGTGACTGCAAGGATTCATCTTCTTTGGTTCTTTCGGTAAAGTCACGTAGAATGAGAATAAAATAATAAATTGATACAATAAAATAACACAATAAAATTCTCACGACGTTTCGGCCACAACACAAGCGGCCTTCATCAGGTGAAGGGACGAGACTGTCTGGAGGACAGCGCTGGAGCGAAAAAGCCACGCTCAGATCGCGACCTTTAAGTTGTGTGAGAAGAAACAAAGCGCCTTGACAAAGGAATTAGCATATAATTTAGCATTGAAATAGCTGAGTGATTAGCTTGTGACTGGTCACAGAAATGGCTATATTAAAGTCAGAGCATACACATTCACAGGTGCCTCTGTGAATGTGTATGCTCTGACTTTAACATAGCTATTCACAGGTGCCTCTGTGAATGTGTATGCTCTGACTTTAACATAGCTATTTCTGTGACCAGTCACAAGCTAATCACTCAGATATTTCAATGCTAAATTCTATGCTAATTCCTTTGTCAGGGCGCTTTGTTTCTTCTCACACAGCTTAAAGGTCGCGATCTGAGCGTGGCTTTTTCGCTCCAGTGCTGTCCTCCAGACAGTCTCGTCCCTTCACCTGATGAAGGCCGCTTGTGTTGTGGCCGAAACGTCGTGAGAATTTTGTGTTATTTTATTTTATCAATTTATTATTTTATTCTCATTCTACGTGACTTTTCCGAAAGAACCAAAGAAGAGATGTTAAGATGTTCAAACACCAAATCGAAACCTTTTGCAAGCAATCAACTCTGCATTAACCACACGCAGTACTTATGGTGAACATGCAGATCCCATAAAAAAAGGATCCCATGCTATAGCTGCCTCCACCCCAAGCTAGAAATGCCTTTTGGCATTCTGTGGTCTGACACTGGTGAGACTAGGCCAGGGGTGGTCAAATGTTTTGACTCGTGGGCCACAATGGGTTCTAAAATTTTACAGAGGGGCCGGGCCAGGAACAGATGGATGGAGTGTTTGTGTGAACTAATATAAATGACATGTAAAAATAATTACATGAAAGGATTTGGCCTTTAACAGGTAGCAGAGCATTTAGTTGCAAGGCAATTTAACAAATTGCACGAACATGAACAATACAAAAACATGTTGTAACGTGACTGATCAAACATCATGAAAACATCTAAGGCCTGCACCCAAACCAATGACCTCACTTGAACTTCTTTATTATCTACATTAACAGGTTAGAGCAGCCACGCAGGCTGTGTGTCGGAGATTTGGCTCCAACCTCGCTGCAGCAACACATCATCACTTTCACTCCCGGTCAAAGTGCGCCATTTAATGGGGAAATGGGGGCATTACAGGAGAAAGGTAAAATTTAATTTAATAATAATATTTGGACAAGTTCGGCAGGCCGGATTAAAAAGACCAACGGGCCGTACTTTGCCTATGTCTGGACTAGGCCAATAAAGAAGGCTGTCACTGGTGTAGGCCAATCAGTTTCAAACACGATGCATATTGTAGGAAAATCAGCTCGTTATGTTCGCACGTTCAACACATGTACTGTGTGTGGTTAATGCAGACTTGATTCCTTGCAAAAGGTTTCTGTTTGGTGTTTGAAAATCCTAACAACTGTTTTATTTCCAGAAAGGGTCAAACCTATTTATATGTTCCATGGCTATTTTGTCTTTGTGTCCGTACTCGGGTTGTCTTCTGCGCATGGGTGTGTGTGTGTGTATATATATACACGTAGTTATCTACATGTGGTCAATCCAGCTTCATCAATGGTAACTTAAAAACTATGGAAAGAAGTCCACTTTCGGTTTACCATTCTACACTAACCCGCACTGACTAGCGTGGTCAGCAACGCTCAAACGTGTCCCACGAATGGCACGGTGAAGCCTTCATCCAGCCGTGGGCTGACAGAGAAGGGTACGATATCTGCGTATAAACTTTGAACCAATTACGTTTTCACACAACCACTGATCTGTGAACATTTGCGCCTGCCAATCTGTTCGATCGCTATTAAAGTTGAACTAGATTCGAATTATCAATGACTCAGAATCTATAATCGATTTCATAAACAATTATCTATAAGAGCTCTTCACAACCACAGTGCCTTGGCTCGCTAATGTGTTAGCGGGTTGTGTCCTGCATCGTTTGGTATGATTACTGACGTTTTGATCCACGTATTGGCACCATCTTCAGGAAGTGAAAAGCGCGTGGAGAAACTTATGAAACTTCAATAAACTATTTGTATTTTTCCAGGTAAGGCCCACTGAGATATATAGCTCCTTTTCAGAAGCAACCTGGCCACAAATGATAGCTCAACAAAGTGGCTTATCATTTGGAAATGTATAGCGGTCAAATACTCTTAAACGCATGTTTCTAAATGTGGAGGTGAAAAACCGGAGGACCCGTGGAAAAATCCACACGACCACGGGGAGAGAGATGTGTGAACTCTAAATATACAAACAGGTGTTGGGGTCGGGATCGAACCCACAACATCCTGTATACTCGACGGCACAACCATGCAAACCTACGCCGCCGTGCTCTCTAGTCCTGACGTGCGTGCTTGTGCCCGTGTGTTTGTCCATGCCAATGTCTCCTCGCGTGTGCGCGTGCGTACAGGAGGATGTGCGCGTGACGGACGGGCGCTTGCGCGTGACGGACGAGGTGCGCGTGGGCGCCGAGCAGGAAGCAGAAGAGAAGCGCCTGGCGCTCATGATGATGAAGAAACGCGACAAGCACCTCTACGACAAGATCATGAAGACGCGCAAACGCAAGCGCAAGGAGGTAGGAGATGCACGGCACACACACACACACATGTATTGCACGCTCATACACCCGCACACACCTATATACGCACGGACATGCTACACTCATACTCGCGCACACAACACTCATACAAAGACCCCCCCTTATAGCCTGAACAGACTGTTGGGGCAAGTGCTGTTAGCGAGCACCTATGAAGCCCAGCACGGTACACGAGGGGTTGGGTGGCCAACACCACGTGCAACTGCATGCATCTATATATACACACACACACACAAACACACTATATTCTCATACACACACATGCACAAATTACATTCATACACCCGCGTGCACACATACACACCCACGCGCACATACTACACTATCCAAACATACTAGGGATGTAAGATCGCATCGGTTAACCTGTGAACATGGATTGGTATTCTTACTATTCATGTATCGATTTGTGCAGGAGGTGATATGTTATTGTGGGAGTACAGGGTCACCGATCCATGTTAATCCTCTGTCTTACAGTGTAATTCCGAGCATGCACCTAACCATGCCTCTTTTACACACCTTTAAGCTCTTGCTGTATGTATATTGTATGCATATAAATGTCTGGCCAGATGATTCTGCGGTTCGAGTTGTCTACTTACAATCTGAAGTTTATAAGTTTAAATTCCAGTTGGGAGTTGACTTGACCCATCCATCATCACCCCTTCCTCTGCCATGGCAACTAACTGTCGGTTTTTAACAAGCGAATTTCAATAGTTTTTCATGCCCGCAAAGTTGTTTAAAAATCAAATATTTGAGATTCGTTTTTGCATTTTGCATATGGTCATATCACCCGTATTGCACCCGATTGGATGGGTAACCAGCATGCAGATGGCAGTGCACCAAAATACTGTACTTCTATGCTGCCACGTCTGTGTTCCCCATGCCTTCGCTTAACCCGCATTGAGACCAGCATGGTGAAATATGGTTAGATAACCCTAATGACCCACGTAGTGTTGTGAGGTCGGCCCCTCGCACAGCGGGAAATTGACAAAAATCACATTTGCACGATAAAATCAGCCTGCAGTCCATCCCATTGCGAGACAAGGAACTGAGATGAGTGTACGCCTACCGCGTACTGTATCAATCCGCTCAGCCGTGTAGCTCGGAAAGTAGTCTGTCGTCGACCGCTCTGAAATTGCGTTATAACGGTGCGCATTCAGCATTATAACGTGCGCGTTCTGCGTTGTGAGAAAAGTGTTCCCGAATGGAAGGACCGTTGTTGTCGCAAAAGCACATTGTGCGAATACGCGTTAAGCGAAGAGTTGCCGTACATGTAACGTATGTGTTGCTGTACGATGGCTTCAGGGCAACCTTTGTGGCATCGTCGTATCTTTGCTCTGACGGACTGAGAGGCTCACTGTGGATGTCTGATTGCGTGTGCATTCTCTCTTGCCTGTGTGTGTTTGCGCACAGGCGAACAAACTGGTGGCCAAGCGGAAAGCCATTGACGCATCGGCCAAGGTGGCCAAAAAGCAGAAAACTAAGCAACGCTAAATGGCTCTTTTAGAGCTTTTGCTCAGTGCCAGGACAACAGTGGAACTTAACTCTCCAGCCATTTTATCATCTTCAACATCCAACTGTGCTGAAGTGCGAAGTCTTGGCTCTGTGTAACATCATTATTAATATTTCCTTTGCTGTGCGAGTTGGCCACTGTGAGCCATCTTCTTTAAAGAGCAGCCACACTTTAAAAAAAAATAAAAGCATAAGACTTCTCGGCCCTTTGTCAATCTACTGTTCCTCTTTGTTTAAGTCATGGTGGGGGGGGGGTCCTTTACCCATACTTCGTTGTAGATTGAAGTGGGGCCAGGACTCTTTCGAACATCACTTCCACACCCAAGTTAGCTTGTGTTGGGAAATCGCGAACCCACATCGCTGGGTTCATAACAATACCTTAACCACAGCACAACTGCTCCATGGAAGGGAAAAAAAAAAACATAACAGCAATTCTGTTGCATATTCTACCAGGTTGAACTGGTGGGATTGACATGACAGCCCATCACTATCTCCTCTGGGTTCAGTAAATCAAAGCTATGTGGGAAGTTTGCAGCAGATGTATGTTCTGAAGACAGAGACTGGCTCCTACCATGAGAATGTGGAAATTAAACAACTGCCTTGTGGCTATCAACAAATATTCACCGTCTGACTTGTTTGAGACATGCTTGTTTGAGCAGACACATTGGCATACACAACAATTTTGAGACGCGTGACGTTTATTGGTTTGCATGAATACGAGGATTGATAAAAGAGTTTTGAGATTTAAATTAGTTTGAAAAGTTTCCGAGTGCTCCCCTCAATTGTTGGAAGCACCTGTGGTGGAGCTCGTGGTTTCAATAATCATTGGAATGTCACAAAACCTTCCTTTTTCGAGCAGTGTTTGGCTCTGGGAGCGGAAGAAAAAAGTCGGATCAGGAGAAGATTGTGAGAGGCCAAGGATGGAAACGGCACTGCTTTGTAAAAAAATATATACTGGTGCACAGAAGAGCTTGTCCACTGGTGCATTATTGTGCTTCAAGTTGCACAATGAACCTTCATTTGAACATCGCTTATGAGTTGCATCTCCCAGGTGCTGAAAAAGAGTGATAGAATTCCTGGTTCACTTTGCCACTTGGTGAAATGCACCAATGCGTCATATTCAAATAAAATAATTTGCAGAGCCATTTTTCTCAGCTTTGCAGAGATGTATCGCATACATTCAGGCTTTACATCGCTTGTGGTGACCGGCATGATACCGTTGTTTTGCTCGGCTGTCAGAAAGTTACTGCGTGGGAACATCATGGTAGACGGTGGTGACTTGTGGACACCTTTATCCAACATTGGATTGACTGGCTGGTAGTGCGACCCATACAGTGTCTACTGCCTCCTCGGATAGGTTCATAAAACTTAGCAATCATTTGTAACATGTTTCAAAACTGTTGCTTCTCTCATTGGAAATGGAGATGCTGATATGGTCCTACTGTGCAGACTGCCACCTCTAATGAGTCAGAGTCCTGCTTTGGGCATTGTGTGAGCACATCCCATCGTAATCTGGTTCAACTTCACATCTACATTCCCATAAAATCAGTTATGAACGTTCTGCATAAACTGCATACAATAGCTCATCCACACTCCTGTGTGTGTGCCGGTTTAAATATGGAGAAACGATTTTAAGAATTTTTAGAAAAATGTTGAATGACCGAGAATCCTGCACGGTTTGTATGTAAACTGTAATGATGCATTCGTTAAATAAAATCTATTATTTCCCTTATGCATTGAGTCATGCATGTGTAGTGACATAGCCCTGACTGTTGGACAGCAGCAGCAACTGCAGGTGGGCGCTTGGCGCACACGCGGGTGTGCCGGCAGGGCGGATGAACTGGGGCAAGGGTCATGATAGCCCTCGTGTGGAAGCCCCTGGAACCCTCGAGGGTTTGAGAAGGGAGGTGCGGCTAGGGCGGAGCGAAGTTGTGTCGAGGGGAATATGAAGCAGCGGAGAGCGAGAGCTCTGGGCTGCCAGTCGTCGCTGTCACCTTCGCCCGATCATTGCGTGGCCGGACAGTGGTTGGCTGTCCCGGTCGACGCCGTCGTTGCAACGCGGACAGGGTCGTGTCTGGGACGGGGCGCGCGGCAGCGGGGTCGTGTGTGTGAGAGAGAGAGGGGGCCCGAGTGGTGGCGTGAGCTCGGCAACAACGAATAAAGAGGGCAGAGCGGTGCCTCCTGCGACCACCTCGTCTCCGGCTGACTGTGACGCACGCACAGGCGACACTACACATGTTCGAAACCATTTTGATTTATATGCGGTGGGTTAGAATCAACGCTACAGCCACTAGGGGCGCGAAATTTACAATATTTTATTGACATTAAACTGCGACCCTCAACAGGGGCAAGCCATTATGTACCTGTATAAAACAATAATTTGGTGGTGGTGCTGCTGCGTTGATATTAGTGCACAACTACAATTGAGAAAATTCGTCACACTGCCTTAAAACATTGGTGATTCTGGAAACGGCCCTTCTAGATAGCACAGAGGCCAGAGAGATAGAGTTCATAATTATCATACTAATCTTTGGTTCTTTCGGTAAAGTCACGTAAGTATAAAATAAAATAAATCGCGACGTTTCGGGCGCAACACCCAAGTGTCCGTCATCAGGTGGGAAAGCGATGGTCTGCTGCTGAGGCAGACCGTTTTAAAAGGTTTGAAATGGGTGTAGCCCAAGGGTCATAAAGAAGTGGGCGGGGCTAGTGATGTTATAAATAAGTGGACGGGGCTAGTGATGTTAATGTGAGAAATTAGCATGTAACTGTAAGATAGGAGAGCGGCCTCCTAAACAAGGGCACGGAAGTGGCTATGTTAATGTGAGAGATTGGCATGATGTTAATGTGAGATTGGAGAGCGGCCTCCACGAGGCGAGAGCGTCAACGCAAGAGAACCACTGCAACAGTGGCCATACCAGTGAGAGACACAGCCCCATAATGCAGTAAGAACCAAAGATACATCGAGGCTAAGGGGGCAGAAGTGGCCATGTTAGTGAGACCCCAGCCCGTTAATGCAAAGGCATCCCACAGGGCAATGCAACTCAGAGTCAGCAGGAAGGATGGAAGCATCAAAGCGAGTCATGACTTTACCTGGTTAAGTCCTGCATTTGGTTTTCATTTTAAGACGTTTTCAGCCAGTTAATTTGATTTACTGATGAGTATTCTTGGTTCTTTCGGTAAAGTCACGTAGAAGGGAAACAATAAAATAATGAAAATATAAAACAATAAAATTCTCACGACGTTTCCACTGCAACACAAGCAATCATCATCAGGTGTGAAAACCACACCAAATGTTCTTGCTGTGGTTTTGACACCTGATGATGATTGCTTGTGTTGCAGCCGGAAACGGCGTGAAAATTTTATTGTTTTATATTTTTATTATTTCATTGTTTCCCTTCTACGTGACTTTACCGAAAGAACCAAGAATATGAATCCCTGCCGTCACGAAAGCTTTAAATCAAAATTTTACTGATGAGTGTTTATTATACGTGTGGGAAGTAAGCTGTAGCACCCAGAGAAACCATGTGTGCTTGGTGGTGGGGGTTTGAGGGGGCAACGCTCTATCCCCGTACAGATGGAAACAGATGGCGATGTGTCCACTTGCTGTGCACCGCCTTCTCCCGGTGAGCCCAGGGTATGGCTCCTCGACATCCACAGAAAAGGGATGTTCACTATATTTGTGTGACCCACCAACGACCTCCATGGATTACGGGAGTTCCGAACCACCACCGCGAAGCTTCACCATCTCATCCCCGTCTCAAAGAGGCTATGGAAACCGGCCACCTGAGTTTGATTCCCGCTCACGGCCACCAACACCAGTGACGATTGTACCGGTCCTGGGCCTCCCCTAGGTCGACTCGACCTCAATCAGCATTCCGGTCGGGCCGATAAAATAAGTAATAAAAAAAACCGTTTTAAACTTTTATTTTATTTTACAAGGTAAGGCCCACTGAGCTGTATAGCAGGAGGCAAATACTCTAAACCCGTGGAGGACCAGAAGAGAATCCACACCGAGTAAAACACACTTTACATACTCTTTGGTTCTTTCGGTAAAGTCACGCAGTTAGAAATCAAATAAAAATATAAAAAAAATATTTCTACCTACGCGACTTTACCGAAAGAACCAAAGAGTTTGGTGGATTCCTGCAGTCACCAAAGCTTCAAATCAAGACTAACTCTTTACATAACCAGGCTGCAACAGAATCGCTCCACCCTGAACCTGCACCATCACTTCTGCACCTGGAATCGGTGCGAGGGGGTTCTTCACGCCGATTCGCTTCTGCACCTGGAATCGGTGCGAGGGGGTTTCTTCACGCCGATTAACTTCTGCACCGGAATCGGTGCGAGGGGGTTTCTTCACGCCGATTCGCTTCTGCACCGGAATCGGCGCAGCCTGCTGTGGCGCTCCCACAATGCACCGCGGCGCGTCGCGAGTCCAGGGCGAAGCGAAAGGTGAGAAGGATGGCGGCGTCGGTGGGGTCCGCGCCCGCCCGGGCGGTCAACATCATTCATGGGGTGACGGTGGTGGGTAGTGGGTGGAGGTTTAAATGTCTCGCGCAAGATATTGCAGGTGGGCGATCCAGAGGGGGTTACTTAGCAGCGTCACGGTGTCGTTTCTCAAAAAAGCCGCCGCCCCCCAAAAAAATTAAGGACGCGAGGCCTAACTCCGGCGAGCTAGGCCTCACGCGACACCTCAGGTGTTTCCTGAAAGCTTTGGCCGCCCGAGGCGCGAGGCGACCACGGGAACTTGGTCTCGGGACAGGCAGGCGGGCGGGCGCGGGTGGGCGGTAGCGCTAAAACTTTTAAGTGCGCGGTGGCTTAAGCTGACCTCTTAAATGATGTGTTCTGCGCATTCAGTGTAACGAGGCATGAGCGGAGCGGCGATTGAAACGCGTTGGGTTCTTCTGCTCCCCGTGTTTGGTCGAAGTCGCTGGGTTCAAGGGCAGCGACGTTTTGCCCCCCCCCCCCTACTGCCCGTGAAGCGGAAAGTCACTGAACTACAACCTCAAGAGAGTCGCCAGATGTCGCTGGAACTGTTAAAGTCAATTCTAGATTTGAAGCTTTCGTGACTGCAAGGATCCACAACACACTCTTTGGTTCTTCTTCTTTGGTTCTTTCGGTAAAGTCACGTAGAATGAGAATAAAATAATAAATTGACAAAATAAAATAACACAATAATGTCTTCCAGACAGTCTCTTCCCCTTCACCTGATGAAGGCCGCTTGTGTTGTGGCCGAAACGTCGTGAGAATATTGTTATTTTATTTTATCAATTTATTATTTTATTCTCATTCTACGTGACTTTACCGAAAGAACCAAAGAAGATGAATCCTTGCAGTCACGAAAGCTTTAAATCGAAACTCTTTAGTTCTATTCGGTAAAGTCACGTAGGTAAAAGATAAAACAACAAGAATCACGACGTTTCGGCTGCAAGGCCGCTTGTTTTGTGGCCGAAACGTCGTGATTTTCGTTTTATTTTTTTTACTTACGTGACTTTACCCAATAGAACCAAACTGTTAAGTCGTTGAAATGTTACTACGGTAGCCAGTCTTGGACAATTATTTACCAATTACATTGATTAAACATGGTAAAACCGTATTCTTGGTTCTTTCGGTAAAGTCACGTTGAAGGGAAACAATAAAATAACGTGACTTTACCGAAAGAACCAAGAATATGAATCACTGCAGTCACGAAAGCTTTAAATGAAAATGGTAAAAACCGATGCAGCATCCGAAGTACATAACTGGAATCGTCCCCTAAAATTGCATAATGTGAGACGAATTTTTCGGTGTGTCGCTTCGACAACATGTTGAACGGGATAATCCAAATAAATCGCCACATTCAGCAACAATCGCCAAATTTACAACACTTAGCGGCAGCGGATGGGAGAAGTCGCGAGACTCATCGGACGGAATTGTCATTCGCTGCGAGAGGGAGACATGACTTTATTTAGAAAAGGGTGGTAGATGTATATTCTTGGTTCTTTCGGTAAAGTCATCACCACGTAGAAGGGAAATAATACAAAATATAAAACAATAAAATTCTCACGACGTTTCCACTGCAACACAAGCAATCATCATCAGGTGTGAAGAAAACCACAGCAAGAAAAGTTGAAAAAAGTGGCGGTTTTTTTAAACGTCATTTTCAGTACTGCCATCTCCTGGTGATGGCAGTACTTCTTAACCACAGTACACCCCAGTCGTGTATTAAAACTTGCAATGGATGCGCGTGTGTCAGAAGTGTACAGGCATGGCTGCACTGCGTCTGGTGTGTGCCATCTCCAAGGCTGGTAGGTTCCACGCGAGTGTCACCAAAGCGCAATCCACCTAGGATTTAAAGAAGTACTTAATTTATTGGTATCTCACAATGCTGGATTGTCATTCTACCATCTTGAAACCCTATCATAGACCTGTCTGTGAGTGTCGTCAAGAAACCCCATCGGAGGCAACTCTGTCAGTCTATTTTCAAGAAACCTCGTCATAGGCTTTCAGGCAAATATGTGAATATCGCTTCAGAGACCAGTCTACCAGTTGATTATTGAGACATATGTTAGAGGCCAATATGTCAAGTATTGTCTATAGACCATATAAAATTATGCATCAATCTTTTTTCTGTAGATCCCATATTAAAACCAGTGTATCAGTACAGTCTGTTCTGCTATAACGCGTGTTTTCATAATGTTAATTTAATATAGCATGATAAATGGATGCGAATTGGATATAACGACATTGAGTGAACAGAACTATGTTGCGTGAGTAGGAATAAGCGGTTGTACGGCTGCCTCGGCGTAGCATCACACAAGGCGGACTGCTGTTGGATGCTTCTAGATGCTACTCACGCACCTCAGATTTTGTTCAGCCTGCATACGCATCTCACGTGTTATCGCGGACTGTGCTTTACCCTATATTATTTATTATAACGCGATTTTTCCACAATGCGGTGTTCTTCAGGAACGCAACTACCGCATTATAAAAGAACAGACTTTATTTCGAAGACCCCATCCGGTTACAGTTACTTAACATGTACAAGTTGATTACTTTTCAATTGTTTTATTTTGGGGAAGGCTTTAGACTCCAGTCTACATGGGGGATTTGAAAATCGTAATTGGTGTACACTGCTGAAACAGAAGTCTGGGATTTGAGAAGTGAATTGGCAGGTTTATTTTTTATGTACACGAGCAGATTGAAAAAGTCTCATTGCCCTGAATTGGAATTGTTTTGATAATGGTATGAAATTCGACTTTTTTACTCTAAAGATGGTCTTCAATTCCATTGTCTTCCCCTCTATTATTTAAGGAACGAAACAGGATTTCTCCACAAATGTGGCTGTCGCCTGACGAAGCTAATTGTAATTACTTGTGAAACGTCGTACTCAGATTTAAAATGTTGTGGTTTTGCTCTTCACACCGGTGCGCTGTACTAGTAACGAATTGGCATGTTCTGTTTACGTGACAAACCTTACTAATTATCTTTGTCGGGTGGTGGAGGGTTTAACGACACATATATTTACGCGATCTAACCCAAAAAAACCTGTATTATGGTTCCATTGTCTTGTTAACTAATGTGAGTGGTCCTACATTAATTTAGTAAAGAGTGATGGTGGTTGGTTCCTCTTATTGCAGCAAGGCCCCTCCCTGGATTCCTCGTCAGACCTCTAAGCCTGTCGGCAACAGCACACTCCTACAGTAAGTGTGTGAGCATGTGAGTGTGTGTGTTTTTGCATTTAGGGTGTGGGGAGAGGTGGTGCAGTGGTTTGCACACTCAGTTATGAACCCAGCGACTTGAGAATGATTCCTGGCTGCAGCTAACATCAGTAGTGAGTTATATCTAAACTAGTGCTGGGTATCACGTATGTAGATTCAGCCTTAAATAAGTACCTCGCACATTTGCTAAGTGAACCTCACACGATTTGATCTTGTACATCTGCGTTACCTGCCAGTGTTATTTGAATGGTGTATGACTTGAAATTTAGATTGCCTCAAATCTATGTTCTACTCAGTGTCGGCAATGTTATGATTCATATTCTATGAATGCCTTTTATTTTACCAAGGTCTTCCCTGGATCATTCTTGTAAAAAACACCTTAATGCTTATAAATCAATCAAATCAACCAAGTAATTTGAATGATGTGTAAACATCAGGATTTTCAGTTTTACGTGCTGTGTGCGTACAGCACGGTATTTCACCGCAAAATAGTCCACGTTCACCACATGCGTTCCTAGTTAAAAAATAACAACGAATATGTGAAACATTACACCGATAAGGAAATGTTCCCCAATACATCGGCAGCGTACATGCGAACTGACGCATAATGCTGCATTTCATAGCGGGGGGGGGGGGGATTCCTGTACTCGCTATGTATGTTCAACTTCTTTCTCACCGTACTTTGCCAACCGTGATAATCGAAGGACAACAAACTAAACACAAAAAGCAGCTCTAACAGCACTTGCTCCAGCAGTCTATGTAGGTTATACAGCGGAGCCTTGCACTTGCCCCAACACACATATGTATGTTGTACAGGAGATATTTGATATTTGTGTGCGAGTGTGTATGCGAATGCATGTGGTACACTGCGAGACAATTTGGTAACTTGGGTTACGTTATTGGTGGTCATCGACCTAAGTGGCACATGATATCGTAACCTGTACTGGCATTCCCCTCGGTCACCCTTAGGTTGACTCGGCCCGAAATAAAAATATGGGAGCAGCGTGTAAACTTTTTCATACTGGGAAATGAACGCTGCCTGGTGTGGCGCTCATTAACACTTGCACCATATGGTTGATGACGCTGAATGGGAAGTCTTTGTATACAATGTGTATGTGTTCATGCTTTTTCGTATGTTCTTGTGCGCATGCGTGTGCAGAATATGTGAACGCCCTTGATGAGAACATGGACTTGAAGGCTGTGACTGACAGGGCAGCACAGACGCTGATGTGGACAGAGCTGTTCCGAGGTTTATACCCCATGTACACACACACACACGCGTGCACACACACATCCGCATATACATCTACACATTATGTACAGCCACGTATGTACACACGTGTCTCCATGCACAGCTCTTTGTCAAATCACTGGGTGAGTTGAGAGTCTCCCCACAGCATACTGGCCGTAGCAGTTATTTAACCATACTTCACCACGCTGGTCAGTGTGTATGTGCATACATGTGTGTTTTTACACTTGTGTATGTGGTTGTGTGTTCTCGTGCGTATGTGCATATTTATCTAATATGGTTCCCGTATACGCTGGGTAGATTGGTAAACAGTCTGGAATCTTCTCAGCATGGCAGTCAGCACTCAGTGACACAATCATGATAAATTTGACCACTGTGGACTACACCACTGCGTCCTGTTGTTTTTGTCACGTTTTTGCGATCGTGCGCAATGTGCCGTTTTTTTTGGGTCGACTTATTATCATTACTCAATGTTTTCTCTGTTTTCAGCACCTTTCTCAATAGGTATCCCAGTGCATGCTCTCATTGCGTTACTGTTACACTTTTTAAAAATGGTTGTTTACTTAAATCTGCTGGAAAGTGCTTGAAGAAGCATGCAAAGGTGCATGTTCGGGGTTGCACTCTGATACAGAAAGAGGAATGCATAGATATACCCAAGTTAGGGACATGGCATATTGGCTGTTAGGTAAATGGGCTTGGGCAGGAAACTTTGCGCAAATGGACGAGCGCCCGGACTGATGACGGAGTAGCAGCCACAATAGGAACGCGCTTCCGAGAGAGGACGTTCACCGCCTTCACGGAGCGATGAGATCAGCTCAGGTGCAGGAGCTGATGACGGAGTAGCAGCCACAATAGGTAACGCGTCCGAGAGAGAGACGTCCACCGCCTTCACGGAGCGATGAGATCAGCTCAGGTGCAGGAGCTGATGACGGAGTAGCAGCCACAATAGGTAACGCGTCCGAGAGAGAGAGACGTCCACTGCCTTCACGGAGCGATGAGATCAGCTCAGGTGCAGGAGCCGGATGGATTGTTGCATTGTCCAGGGATGGATAGCCCACAGCTGATAATGATGATCCCATTGTTTTCCAATAACCCTTTGTCATTCAGTGCATTTTTCATGGTATGTTGGTGATTCAAATCAAATAATATAATTCCTAACGAGTTTTAGGCAAATTTTATCCACATAGTTTGCATACCTCTATGTTTGTGTGTGTGTTTGTGTACAAACATACAGGGCTGGCCATGACCCTAAGCTACCTGTTCCGCGAACCGGCCACCATCAACTACCCGTTTGAGAAGGGCCCCCTGAGCCCACGCTTCCGAGGGGAACACGCGCTTCGACGATACCCGTCTGGCGAGGAGCGGTGCATCGCGTGCAAGCTCTGTGAGGCCGTGTGCCCCGCGCAGGTGCCCCCCAGCGCAACGATGGCAATGCATACGGAGTGACTGTGACCGGTGCATGGTACTGGGCTTCGTGTTGAGTGGCACAAAAAACAACACGGTGATGGTAGCGATTATATATATTAAAAAAAATAGGGTTTACCCTTAAAAGACAATGCTTATATTATCGAAGCTTGTTTGTTTGCATGTTCACCGCAAGTACTGTGTGTGGTTAATGCGAACTTGATTCTTTGCATAAGGTTTCTGTTTGGTGTTCGAACATCTTAACACACGCTGTTTTATTGCCAGAAAGGGTAAACACCTATTCTCATTTTTTCATACTTTAAAAATGGCAAAGAGGTCCCAGTTTGTAGCAGCTCACCCTGAGCTATAATGCTCTGTTAGTGCATTATCATTGTACTTTTCGCTTTTTGGCATTCTCTGGTTTGACACTAGTGAGACTAGGCCCTAAAGAAGGCTGTCTCTGGTGTAGGCCAGTCAGTTTCTAAGAAAATGCCATATATCAGAGCACGTTTTTTTTTCCATGTTCACCACAAGTACGTGTGGTTAATGCGAACTTGGTTCCTTGACCCTGACGCCTCTATATTTGGAGTTTGCATGTTCTCCCTGTGGTCGCGTGGATTTTTCTCCTGGTCCTCCGGTTTTCCCCCGCCACGTTTAGAATCTCAACACGCGTTGCGAATGTGTGGATGCTACGAATTTCCACGTGATAAGCTACTTCATTGAGCTATCATTTGTGGCCAGGTCTGTTCTTAAAAGCTGGAAAAGCACAGTGGGCCTTACCTGATATAATACAAAAAATTGTTTAAATAAAAATAATTTGTGGTTTATAGTGTATAACTAGCCTATAGTCCGTCCAAGGACGGGTGTATTGCAGTAAATCTGAAACTTGCAAGCGAAAATCAGACCGCGACGTGACATTCATTGCATCCATGCGTGTGCAGTTTGTAAGGGCGCGGTGACACGGACCTATTTCATTTTAAGGTTATAATCCCTTGTTCATCATGACGTCCTTTTTACTTCGATGTCTCAACAGCGTCACGGAGATCACGTGACGTGAGGGTTCTGCCTTTGTAGTGAGGGTTGTAAGTTGACGCTGAGGAGTCGGCGCCCCCCCCACCCCCCCCCCCCCCCCGTGGAGTGACGTCACCAGCTCATGATTATTAATGAGGGGGGGTGCTCCATGTGGAGTGACGTCACCCGCTCATGAATGGGGGGGGGGGGGGTGCTTCATGCGGAGTGACGCCGCCCGTTCATGATTATTAATGTCGGGGTGGGGGGTCCATGTGGAGGACCCCACCTGTTCATGATTATTAATGAGGGGGGCTGGTCGACGTGGAGTGTCGTCACGCGCGTTACACACAGACATTCTTGGCTCATATTAGTGATGTGTGTGTGTTTGTCAGGCGATCACCATTGAGGCGGAGGCACGCGCGGATGGGAGCCGCCGAACTACTCGTTATGACATCGACATGACCAAGTGTATCTATTGCGGCTTCTGCCAAGAGGCGTGCCCCGTCGACGCCATTGTGGAGGTGTCACACACAAACACACGTGTACAAAGATAAAGATCCCCCCGTATAAGCTTAACACACTGTTGGGGCACGAGGCGGTGGGTGGCCAGCACCCCACACCTGTCATTCTTTGTCTCCCGAGTGGCGATGTTTTACACATCGCATAATTCATTCTGGAAACGTGTTTGTAATCCAAAGCACTCGTATATCAAAGCACTCGTATATCAGTTGTGATCACGTGACGCTCGGCAGACAACGCGTAGACACGTACTGCTGCTCGTATTGCAAGACCCTCGCTCGTTTATCAAATTAATATTTATTTTAAATTTTTTGCTCGTCTTGCAAAACACTCGCAGACCAAGTTACTCGCAATCCAAAGTTTTACTGTAAAGACAAACAGCCCCCCCCCCCCCCACCGCCGTCCCTATCGCCGTACAGATGTTTGGGGTAAGTTTTGGTAGTGAGCACCGATGAAGGCCAACACAGCGTTCAACAGGGTGGTGTGGCCCTGTGTGGCCGTCTTGCATTCCCAGTGCTGGTGTTGACACAATTGCACCAGGTCCTCATTTAAGTTGAGCCACCATAAGGGAAGCTCAAAATCGGTGAGATATTTTCCGCTGATATCCACGGCTGGGAATCAAGCTCGGATCATGTAGCGCAGTGTGTGACGTGCTTTGCCACCACTCCCCACAATATGCATAGGCAAAAGCATGTACAATGATGACAAAGATCCCCCGTATAGTATTAACTGTAATCAAGCCACCTACGTAGACCGGCACTGCACACCGTGCTATGCCGCCTTTGTCTCCGCATTGCTGATGTTTCCACACCACACCAGGTACTCGTTTAAGGCTGCCTAAGTGATGGCTAGGATAGGTTCAGATATTTGGCACTGATGTTGACCGCGAGTGGGGATCGAGCACACGTTGCTAGGTTCAGTGCGCCATGCATTAATCCACTAATCTACCACTCCCACACCTAGGCGTGCTGGCACATGCACATATGTATGTCGCATAGTCTCATAACGCACGCAAAATATACACCTGCACGTGAACACGCAAGTACACTTAAATGCGTGTAACGCGTGTATATTTGCCCTTGTGTGTGCATGCACAACTGTGCGTATTTGTAGTTTGCGTGTGTCCTGGAATGTTTGTTCAGGCACACGTGCTTGTGTTTGTGTGCGGTACTTCTGCGCACGATTTGATCATTTATAGCATCGCATGAGGGGCAAATTATAGGCATGCCTACTGTTTGTGTGTGTATATACTTTGTGTGTTTTTAAATCAAGGAGCGTAAACTGCCACACAAACTGATCATCCTTCCAGCGGCTTTTGGCGAACCATCGAACAAAAACGGTTACTGCATCGCACGCTTTTTAATTCGCTTTTGAGGCCGTCTGGAACGCTCTTCCGATATTAGGAAGCAACTGGAGCTGTGCAATCTTGATTTGAAGCTTTGGTGACTGCAGGAATCCATACTGTTGGGTTCTTTCGGTAAAGTCACGTGGGTGTAAAATAAAATAACTCACGACGTTTCGGGCGCAACACAAGCGTCCATCATCTGATGAAGAGTATGGAGCTGTGCACTTTTAAAATCTAGATTAAAACTAATAAAGGGGTGCTTTTTTAATTCTTGGTTCTTTCGGTTAAGTCACGTGACTTTACCGAAAGAAACAAGAATATGAATCACTGCAGTCACGAAAGCTTCGAATCAAAATTTAGGTGCTTTTTTGTTCTTTTCCCGCACCTGATTAGTACGCTCGTCTATGTACGGTGCGAAAGAGGATGAACATGCATACATCCATACATACGTGTGCGAGTGTCCCGGTGTCTCTGTAAATGCTTCTGTGTGCTTGTTCGTGCGCACGTAACAACGCAAGTGTACTTGGCTGCGCGTGCGCATAACCACGCTCGCGCTCCTTTCTGTCCCTTCAGGGCCCCAACTTCGAATACTCGACGGAGACGCACGAGGAGCTCCTGTACAACAAGGAGAAGCTGCTGAACAACGGCGACAAATGGGAAGCGGAGATCGCAAGCAACTTGCAGGCGGACTTCCTCTACCGCTGACGCGACGATGAAGCCGTGCGCGACGGCAACGCAGCACGCGATGCATGACGACACGACACAATTCACCGCTGAGCACGGCAAAGCCAGGTTAGCAGAGGTCACGGCGCTCGTGCCGACAATCAGAAGGTGGCGAGGTCGTTCTGGTCAGGGGGGGAGCAACGCTGCTTCCCTGTTCTCATTGCGCGAACTAAGGGGGGGGGGGAGGCTTGTCAATTGGTCACGAACACGGCAATGTGTCATTTACATCATCGGTCATGGCCGCCGACAACCCGATTGAGGGGTGACCCAGAGCGCATTTGATCGGTAAGAGGTTTTAAAATTGGAGTTTTATGCAAATACAATAAGACACCTATCTGCATTGCCTTCCTGATGACCTGTCGGGGTGGCTACATAAAGTTAATTTACTCGGCGATAGACACGTACGCACATCGCACACGGCACGGCACAGTTGACACGGCACGTAACTTGGAGATGGACTCAATATATCAACACCGCATGACACAGGTTGCTTGTGTTTGAGGTGATGAGATTACCGAAAGCTTGTTCGAACGCAATTATTATTTACAACTGAAATGTACAGTGATGATGAATATGTCGGAGTGATAATGTTGCTTTCGCATTGTCAACCGTACTAGGATGAACATGCAGCCTTTGTTCACTGAACCCTCATTTGTGTCCTGTTGTCATTTGTGCGTGAATTTTCTTAACTTTTTGCACAGTTACATTCCAGCTGTGCACTTTGGGTCATGGAGATCTTCAGAGAGTGTAGGAGAGGGATGGTGGATCGTGTAGATTTGTACAGACTCGAGGCAATCGTTAAGTGGCTTGTGTACAAGCGTAGATATTCTAAAGGGTATGGGTCTGTGGAACATGTCGATGTGTACAGATTAAAGGCAAGGATTGGTGGATTGTGGAGATTTGTGAAACTCCCAGACCTACTTGGCTGCGAGGTGGTAGTACAGAAAGTGGGTACATGCGTCTGTCTGTCCATCTTTGGGCATGATCCCGTTGTATGTACAGTGGGAATTCTCCGAGTGCTTTGGACTCTTCCCGTAGACCAAATACTCAGTGATGCCAGGTCATCTTTAGAAAAAAAACATCGTTCCTGCATAAAGGCATACAGGTGAGTGGGAACGGGAAAAGTAACTTGACGTACAACTTGACGTCCCTTGGATAAACCCGAGAAGCGTACGAATGTTCCCGTCCTTGGAAAATGTGAAGCTACATTCACGTGGGTGGTGAGGAAGTGCCATACCCTGGCTTGCAACGAGAAGGCACTACAGCAATGTTGGACTCTACCTGACCCGTCTGGGATAGAGTGTTGCCCCTTCGCACGTATTGGTGTCCTCCGGTTTCTTCCCGCAACACCTGAATATAGAGAGAGCTGCAGTGTTGGGGGAAATTTGGCGGTGTCTGCATGGCTGCCTTCCCCCACTTGTGGTTCCGCTCGCCTCCGAATGGTTCTCTCCGACAGAGCGTGTACTGCGCGTGCTGCAAGTTGAAATAAAATTTGTTTTCAGCGGCAGTTACACTTCCGACATTGTGAAAGCGCGGACAGTTTGCGTGAATCTGACATTGGCAGAATTATGACATGGAATCCAGCCACTGTAAACGATGTAATAAGCATGTTAGGGTCCATCCATTTAGTACGTATGCATGGAGGGGGGTTAACCCAAATGCGTACGCTTGAGTATGGGGGGTCTTTTCGATTTAAAGCTTTCGTGACTGCAAGAATTTATCTTCTTTGATTCTTTCGGTAAAGTCACGTAGAATGAGAATAAAATAATAAAATAAAACAATCAAATTCTCACGACGTTTCGGCCACAACACAAGTGGCCTTCAGGTGAAAGGAACAAACCTGTCGGGACGACAGCTTTCACCTGAAGATGGCCGCTTGTGTTGTGGCTGAAACGTGAGAATTTTATTGTTTTATTTTATTCTCATTCTACGTGACTTTACCGAAAGAACCAAAGAATATGGGGGGTCTACTGACAATCTAAGTATGCATAGGAAACGGGAGGGGTGGGGGGGGGATGAAGCCTCGATAATAATTTGTCTACATTGGCCTTCAAATGAGCCACATTTCAGTTTCTTCAGCTGTCAGACAACAAGTACTACCGGGAGAAGTGGCACTGTGGGAGAGGTGTCACTTGTATGCCACCGTACCCCCCCCTGACTGCTCGCTATCACGCAGCTCAGCAGTGAGTCTGACATCGTCTGGCGGCCTGACCCACCATGGATTACCACATATCCTTCAATCTGGCCTCACTGCGGACTGCCGCTGGCTCAAGATGTCAGCTGCTCTGTTCGTGCTACTGCTGCTGCTGCCCGGACTGACACCGGTCTGAACATCGGTCTACTGTTAAAGCAGATGTTCAGTCGACGAACTTTATATAGGAAATAGAGACTGGTTCACCGAGTTTTAATTGTGTGTTTTAAGATCACAATAGACGTGTTTTTGAATAACCAGTCAGGATGGATAACACGGTAAAGTATAACTGTTTGTAGAAAGCTGTGTGTAAAGCCAGGCAGATATTGAATCTGCGTGGATTAAATATCGGCCGTTCTTTAGGATGGGGGGTGGGTGGGGAGAGGTGTAAAAAGTCCGCGTGCGTACAGGGAAAGGGTGGGGGGGGTTAAAGTTTTTGACAGATTTTTGCGTACCTACTCAATGGATGGCCCCTGAACGAACCGCTTGCGGAACGAATGTTGCACAATACCGTTCCCAGGACGGGTGCTGCAATGCATGTGCCGAAGTGGAGCTGGTCTTTGCGTTTCCTGCTAAGTTTCCAAAAACCTTTGTATCAATTTGGTTGGTTTTATATGTGGGTGGGGCGGGGGGGTGGTCTCTCATAGCAACACAACTTTACACTTTGCAGGTGCGCTTCTGCGGCCGTCTGGAACGCTCGTGCGACGTTACTTTTGAACTTTTAAAATCCAGATTGCGAACTCATTCCTTCAGAGCTGCTTTTTTTTTGTTCTGTTCAGTTGCTTGTCCTTCCTCCGATTGGTACGGTTGGCAACGTACGGTTCCGCTTGAAGGTCAACGTGCTCTTAACGTTTCGTTCACATTGGGTCCTCTTTATTCGATTGAGGCTGCGCGTCCCCACCCCCCCGGCCCCCCACCCCCTCTCCATCCCTTATTTTTTTGACAATATGGGTTAAGGCTTTCTGCATTCAAGATGCAGTTTTCCGTCGCTGCGGCCGTTATGGAGAGAGAGAGAGAGCGAGAGTTGCCCGCAAGCTTGCGAGAAGAAATGCACCACGCGCAGGCCGACGTCGAGGAAAACGCAAGTTGCTGACGTTGCAGCAACTTGCGCGGTTCAGCTCTTTCTCAATCGCAGCTGGAACGTGCTTAGAAGGGGAGGAACAGCGCCCAGGTTAGGGGCCGTCCATAAATGACGTCACGCGATTTTGGACGATTTTTTGCCCCCCCCCCCGTTCGTCACACGGCGCCACGAAAAGTCAGACCCCCCCCCCGTCAAATATGACGTCACAAAGCTCTGCCCCCCCACCAAAATAAATAAATTAAACATGCTTCAAATCGCTTTAACTATTGTCATTGTAGCGCGTATTAAATGTGGCGCTGCACTCTGATGTTGTTGGAGAAAACATTTATTAAAAAGTCTATTTAATTAAGTAGAACGTGTTGTCTATATTTATTTAAAGTTGCGCAATTTGATGTGACGTCACATTTCTCAACCCCCCCCCCCACCTTGTCACGCATCGTCACAAATGTCTGACCCCCCCCCCCCCCACTAGGTGCATGACGTCATTTATGTACGGCCCCTTAGGTGAAAATGTTGACAGTATTCAAGGGCCAAATATGGTCTGTCGGCTGTACGTTCCCCACCACGGTATGTATGTTGAACTTCTTTTGCACCGTACGTAGCCAACCGTGCTAAATCGGAGGTGCGGGGGAAGGTCCGCAAACAAAATCTATAACCGTAAGATCTGATCTATACCGTTAAGAACGTCAGCACTTCATCCCCCTCGCCCCACTCCACTCGCTAAAGAAAATGTCTTGGTTGGTTGCAGTCCCCAATGCCTTCACAAGTCAACGTTCAGTGGGTTTACAACATAAAGTGTATATTATAATGCAATAAACGTTGGCATTCGTCGTAAATTTTGTGTTGGGCAAGAGATGGAAAAACCATCAGTTACACCTGTGACTGCCAAATAGTATTGATAGCAACCAAGCCGCATTGATGCATCATGTTGTGAAACAGGTTGTATATTCCAAGGGTAGCGCGATGAAGAGTCATGTGGGGCCATTCAAATCGGCATTTGGCCTCTTTCATTACATGTCTAAGCGTGTAGGGATGCTTCACAGTGATTTAGACACTTGTCATGTATGCCAATCGGTGCAATGACATCAATTGTGTACGAAGTTAGGTCAGCAATTCAAGACTTAAGGTGTTGGGGCTGATTTAACAATACATATAATACATGTTATTTGTAAGGCGCATTTCATTATAGGATCCCAATGTGCCATTTATGGAAGGCAGGAAATAAGACAGAGCCAGCAGCATAAACGACCATAACTATGGGGAAAGGCCATTTAAAGAGGTGGGTTTTCAGGGCAGGTTTAAATAGCTCTCAAGACTCCGATTGTCTAATTAACGTGTTCCATAGTCTTGTAGCTACACTGGAAAAAAGCCTGATCACCCCAGGAACGGAGCCTTGACCTCAGAATACGAAGGAGATCAGAAGATATCAAGGACCTCATTGGTGTATATATATACACGCGGGTCATTTACTGTAAGTAATATGGGGTTAATGTGGCACATTAGGAATAGACCACTCTTGTAATGAGTCATTACGTGCTGTGCAGTACATCAATGCACGTGTGTACACCAGCATGTGATGACTGAGTTGGGCCTGTGGGTGGTTAATGGCGACTCGGTTGAAGATTGCTGTGTGTGACACACGTGCTGTTGCATTTTACAGATTGAACACAATAAATGTGTTTGCCCTCGATTTGGAGCACTTGCCCACGTCCTTAATTTCGAGTGTACAACATGAACCCATTCACAAAATCAATCTAGAAGCAGCATTCAGAATGAGCTGAAGTCTACAAAGCACCTTGTTCGGAATCCCAATCAGTATTGCTTGCAATAATCAAGTTGGGAGACCACAAATGCGTGGACGAGTCTCTGTAAATCATCGGGCGACAGGAATCGACGCAGCCGGGCAATATTTCTTAAGTGGAAAAATTACGCTCTGACCACTCTAGATACATACGACTCACAGGACAAAGACTGATACAATTGGACACCAAGATTTCTGACCTGTGATGGACAGACATCATGACCATCTATAGACAAACATAGTTTACTCATTTTAGATAAGTGTAAGGGGAAACCAATGAATATGAATCCAGTGGTGTCGGCATTTAATAAGTGAACATTCTTCTGAAGCCAAGATCTCATTAAGAGATAATGATGCAGACAATGAAGAGACTGCCCTCGCACAATCGGAACCTATCCGGACATGAATTTGCGTGTCATCAGCATAGCTGTGATTTGACAAACCCAGGTGTCGTAGCAGCATTCCCAGAAGTGCCATATAGGCATTGAATAGAGGGGGGCCAAGTACTAATCCTTGTGGAACACCGCATTGAACCAATGTAATTCGACATTTGTAACCATCAATTGTAAACAATGCAC